TTTCCGCAGGACGGGGCGCATCGCAGAAATTCAACCTCGCGGTTCAAGTCCATTTAGTCTCTGCTGGAAAACTTGCTGCCACTTCCTCGAGACCTACATAAACACCAATGTTCTGAATGTTCTGATTCAATTCATCCCTCCATCCTTATACTCGAAACACCAGGGTCGAGCAAGGCCTGGTTCCGCAGCTGTGCAGTTCAACAGCAATGTTGTGCTCTGTGAAGGTTGTTCTTGGTCCGACTCCAGGCCAGGCCATAGAATGGTGGGTTGTTTTTTTTGGGCAGGACCAGGGTAGGTCATATCATCAGAACCTCTCCGTTTTTTTCACCGGTGGATTGGGGAAAGTCGCTGAGGAAAGGAAGCTTTCTGCGGTGACTCATTATGGACAGAGTTGATATACACCTACATGCACATGCATTCTGCGGCGATACCTCTCCGCAGTGATATTTATTTCAGATTGGACCAGGAATCCCTCGACCCGAAAAGTGAGTGAAAGCGCGCAAACTGTTGAGTACCTACTCGTCTCACGCTGTACAAAAAAACCCTTGGATCACAGCAAGAAAAAATGAGTGTGACCCTATAAGACTAAGACTCAACCCAGGTCCCAGAATCGAACCAGGAATTTCTGCTTTAACACTTGAAGAGAGCCACCCAATGAAAGTACTGTACAATTTCGTTCAAATCGACAGTCACGCGTCACGCGGGACCCTTTTTATTGCGGCAATAATCTTTTCTCGATTTATGGGATTTAAAATTTCTGAAAATCATCGGGGGTCGTGTCGAATTGAACGAAATAGTACAGTAGATGCGGGCCACCTGCTCTAGATCTCGAGTCCTTCCTTCAGCTATAGCTCAACCAACAGAGATCATTCGCTTTGCACAAAAAAGCAAAGCATACTATAGATAAACCAAGACTTAACCCAGATGTAATTGAACCAGGAATATTAATCCCTGCTCAGACATGCAACATAGAAACCAGGTGCCGACCAGCCATCAGCATACTTACACTACTAAAACACATGCAGAAGATTCGGGCAGGGAACAGGAAAAAAATGTGAACAGACTCGACCCGGGATCGAACCAGGAATCTCTGCTTGAACTCGCGGTTATGCAACGAAAGCAGATGCGGACCACCCGCTATCAAGTCCTTCCTAGCTATGGCTCAGCTCGAGAACACCCACAGAGATCACAGTTATGCAAAAAGTAAAGTATCTAAACCAAGAGACTTGACTCCAGAATGTAATCGAACCGGGAATATCAATCCTTGCTCAAGCCTCAAAGACACAACATACCAAAACCAGTCACCGAGCCCGCTTACACTCGCCCACTCCCACTAAACCCCATGCAAAAAAAATGGGCTGGGTGTAAAAAATGGCAACAATGTCTGATGGAGACCCGACCCGGAATCGAACCGGAATGTATCACGGCTTATATGTATATGCAGAGTACCATCCATTGAACGTGGATGCGGACCATCCGCCATCGACCTCACCTCACCCTGTACATTACCGAAAAAAATCACTGGGTCACAGCAAGAAAGACCGAGAGTGTCGCTCTTTTAAGATTCGACCGGAGGACCTGCTTACATTGTCGGTTGAGGAGCAATTGAAAGCAGATGCAGACCACCCACCATCGAGTCCTTCCTTTTAAATTAGTATGAGCTTGACTCGATGAGACCCACAACAATCACTAGCTTTCCTGCTCAAACACGCATTATACCGAAACCAATCGTCGACCATCCATCCGCCAGCATACTTACACTACTAAAATGCATGCAGAAGATTTGGGCGGGGGGCAGGAAAAAGTCCTGAACCTCGCCAGGACTCGACCCGGAATCGAACCAGGAATCTCTGCTTGGACCTTGCCTAGAATTCCTCCAATGGAAGTAGATGCGGACCACCCGCCATCGAGTCCTTCCTTTAGCCATAGCGCGACTCGATCAGACTCCACCAAAACAAGGTAGTTTCTCAGGATCGAGCCAGGAATAATGAACCGCGACTTGTAAAGCAGATGAATTACCCGCTATGGGGTCCTTCCTTCCTAGCTATAGCTTGACTCAATGATACCAACATAGAGATTACTAACTTGTATCCTCAACCCACGCAAAAACACCGGGTGTGTGCAAAAATGCTAAGATATCCCGCAAAGCGGTTAGGTAAGACTCGGCTCGGAATCGAACCAGGAATCTCTGCTTGGATAAATGGCCATGTAGTTGCACTGCAAGGAAAGCAGATGTGGACCATCCGCCATCGAGTCCTTCCCAGCTAGCAGCTCGTCTCCATGAGACCCCACCAAGCTTAAGAGGAGGGAATCTGTCAGAAATTCAGAATTACTCGGAGTCAGGAGTGAATGAATCGCGGCTTGGAACTGAACTTGTAAAGCAGATGTTTGAGTCCTTCCCTCCTTTAGCTACAGCACACACAGGAATCACTACTCAACTTGTACCCTCAAACCCATGCGAAAACACCGGGTGTGTGCAAAAATGCCAGATACGCACGCGTCAAGACTCGACCCGGAATCGAACCAGGAAACTGTGCTTGAACATTGAATCACGACAAATCCTACAGTGGAAGCAGATGCGGACCATCTGCCATCGAGTCCTTCCTTTAGCCACAACACGACTTGATGGGACCCCACCACAAAAGAGGGAATTTCTCATGATTGAACCACTGGCAGGAATGAATGAATAGCGGTTTGAATGAAACTCAACTTGCAAAGCAGACGCGGGTGGCTTGGCATGGAGTCCTGCCTCCCTTCAGCTTCAGCTGCAGCTCCACTTGAAGATACATACAGAACTCACTAACATATACCTTTAACCCACACGCAAAATTACCGAGTGTGTGCAAAAATGGCACGCTTGGTGAGGTTTCAAGACTTGACCCGGAATCGAACTGGGGGACCTGCTTGAATTGGACCCGAAAGAACGATTGAAAGCAGGCACGAACCATCCGCCATCGAGTCATTCTCAACTAGCAGCTCGTCACCATGAGACCCCACCAAAAAGAAAAAAAGGAATTTCTCAGATCTGAACCAGGGATGAAACTCAACTTGGGAGGCAGACACGAATCACCTGCTATCGAGTCCTCCCTCGCTATAGCTCAACTTGAATTGACGATGACATCACTAGCTTGTATCATCAACTCACGCAAAAACACCGGGTGTGTGCAAAAAATGAAAACAATGGCTTGTGAAGACTCGACCCGGAATCGAACCAGGAATCTCTGCTTGGATAACTGGCCATGTAGTTGCACTCCAAGGAAAGCAGATGCGGACCATCTGCCATCGAGTCCTTCCTTTCACACCGTTTAAGGCAAAATCTTGAAATATGGTGAAAGCTTTACTGGATGGAATGAAATCAGCATAAATAAAAGAGAATGGAAGTTGTACCGATATCAAGTGAATGTGAATGTGCTCAGGAAGTAGCCCCCTTCAGTGCCCGTTTCAGCCCAAGTGGCTTGTGTTGATTTTGGCGAGTGGCGAAATCAAAGCCGAATTTGCTGTGATCAGGGCTCCTTTTGGAAGCGCTAGATTTTTCAGCTTTCAGCGAGCAGCAAAATGATGGCTAAAAGCTTGACTTGCAGCAACCATTTTCAATTTAGTGAAAGAAAGGCCTCTTTGATGCCGCCTGAAAGGCGCTCTGAAAACCGTGAGCAAATTTTGCCATTGGTGCGGAAGATGCCGGACCAATGGCAAAATTTGCTCATTGCTTTCAACTTGCCTTTCGGAAGCATTGACAAGCCTTTGTCTCTCCGTGCGGCAGAAGTAGTTACTGAAAGCTCAACTTTCAGCAACCATTTTGGCAGTCCCTGAAGACTAAGCAACGGTGCTCCCAAGAGGCGCTCTGATAAAAGCACATTTGGTGCCACTTTTACCGCCGGGAGAAAGCAACAAAAGCCAATTGAGTTGGAACAGACCCTGAAGGGGGCTACCTCAGAACCACATTTGTGTCCACTGGATATATGTACAATTTCCTTGCTCTTTTGTTCATGCTGATTAAAATACATTTGGTATAGCTTTCACCATATTTCAAGATTTTGCCTTATAGGGTGTGTTTAGCCATAGCTCGACGCAATGAGACCCCACCAAAAAAAGGGAATTTCTCAGAATTGTACCAGGAATGAATGATGAATCAATCACAGCTCGAATGAAACTCAACTTGCAAACCACCCGGCATTGAGTCCTCACTTCCTAGCTATAGCTCAAGCACACACACAGGAACCACTACTTAGCTTGTATCACTAAACCCATGCAGGTGTGTGCAAAAATGGCACACATGGCGCTTTGGCAAGACCCAACCCGGAATCGAACTGGGGGACCTGCTTTGATTATCTGTCACAATCAAAGCCTTTATCTCGTCCGACTATACAGAGATAGCGGATTGGGGAGTGAGATGCGCAGGACTTCGAGAAATGAATCGAATAAAAGACTAAGGAATACAAGAAACTAACTACTCTACTTATACTGTTCTGTGAACCGTGTGAATATGAATTGTGTATGTACTCGGTGCGTAAACCATCCTGCTGCAACATGTAGTGCCGGAATGTTCTGCAATGTTCTTTTACCATGTGTTTGCCAGGTGTTCAACTATCTAATCTAAGTCCGTATCTAATCCCTTCGTTATCTCATCTGTGGGCGCTTCATTAGGCGCCTCCGAGATAGGCGTTGTCGCGATAAGATTGGAATCGAATCGTGACATTATCCGTGGTCGCACTATACTAAGTGAAACAGGCGCGGACCATCCGCCATCGAGTCCTTCCTTCAGCCATAGCGTGACCCAATGAAGCCCCACCAAAAAAAGGGAATTTCTCGGAATTGAACCAGGGATGAAACTCATTGAACTTGCAAAGCAGACACGAATCACCCGGTATCGAGGCCTTCCTTCTTTCAGCTATAGCTTGACTCGATGATACCAACATAGAGATTACTAGCTTGTATCCCTAAACCCATACAAAGATATCGGGTGTGTGCAAAAAAAAAATGGGAAGCATGGCACTTCGTCAAGACTCGACCCGGAATCGAACCGGGGGACCTGCTTTAATTATGAACAAACCGCACGTCAAGTGAAAGCAGACGCGGACCATCCGCCATCGAGCCTTTGAGTAGCTGGGTGCTCACCTCACCCCTGTCCCAAAAAATCCTTGGGTGAGTTGGATGTGTTGCTGAAGAGACCCAACCCGGAACCGAACCGGGGGACCTGCTTTGATTATCCGTGGTTGCACTATACTAAGTGAAACAGGCGCGGACCATCCGCCATCAAGTCCTGCCTCTAGCTATAGCACGACTCGATGAGACCTCACTGAAAAAAGGGAATTTCTCAGAATTGAACCAGGAATGAAGGAATGAATTGCGGAAAATGTAAACGGAAAAGCAGACACGGGTGGCCACCTGGCATCGAGTGTTTCCTGGCTATAGCTCGAGTTGACTATGTAGACGATACCCGCCCAAGAATCGGCTGTGTGCAAAAATAATAAGTACATGGCATTAACAGTGTCAAGACTCGACCCGGAATCGAACCGGGGGACCTGCTTACATGGTCGATTGAAGAACAATTGAAAGCAGACGCAGACCATCCACCGTCAAGTCCCTCCGTTAGCAAGAGCGCGACTCGATGAGACTCCACCAAAAGGAGGGAATTTCTCGGAATTGGACCAGGAATAATGGATTGCGACTCAAGTTGCAAAGCAGATGCGAACCACCCGCTATTGAGTCCTTCCTTCCTTTAGCTCAAGCACACACAGGAATCACTCCTTAGCTTGTATCCCCCTCTAAACCCATGCAAAACACCGGGTGTGTGCAAAAATGCCCGAATGAGAATACACATTGCGCGTCAAGACTCGACCCAGAATCGAACCAGGAATATCTGATTGAACGCGTCGTAGTCTTTCAATGAGAGCAGATGCAGACCACCCGCCATAGAGTCTTCAAGTAGCTAGGTAATCACCTTACTGTGTACATTACCCAAAAACAGGCATTAGGTCTCAGCAAGAAAACCGAAAGTGCCGCTCTTCAATTAAGATTCGACCCGGAATTGAACCGGGAGACCTGCTACAATTGTCCAGGTACTCCTTACAATGAAAGCAGAGGCGGACCACCCGCCATCGAGTCCTTCCTTTAGCCATAGCGCGACTCGATGAGACCAGCCAAGAAAAAAAAGCTCAGAATTGAACCAGAATGAATCGCGACTTGCAAAGCAGACACCCCGCTATCAAGTCTTCGCTTCCTTCAGCTACAGCACACACAGGAATCAATACTTAGCTTGGATCACCAAACCCATCCAAGAATTTGGGAGTGTGCAAAAATGCTAGACTACGCTGTCAAGACTCGACCCAGAATCGAACCAGGAATCTCTGCTTGGATAAATGGCCATGTAGTTGCACTGCAAGAAAGGCAGATGCAGACCATCCACCGTCGAGTCCTTCCTTTAGCCATAACACGACTCGATGGGACCTCACCAGGAGGAGGGAATTTCTCAGAATTGAACCAGGAATAAATTGTGACTTGCAGACCAATCACCCGCTATCGAATCCTCGCTTCCTTTGGCTACAGCACACACAGAAATTACCAACTTGTATCCTTCAACCCAGGAAAAAAATATGGGGGTGTGTGCAAAAATGCTATAATACGCAACCTCAAGACTCGACCCGGAATCGAACCAGGAATCTCTGCTTGAACGTGTCGTAGTCGTCCAATCAAAGCAGATGCGGACCACCCGCCAGTCGGAGTCGACTCGAGAATCACTCCTGACTCACTCACGCACGTACGGACCAACTGTAATTAGTATATAAGTAGTGTACTTGTTAGTAGGTAGGCTGTCGGGATTGCAGCAGAGCAAGCTCAATATATTTGGTTCAACCTATCACGTGCTTGTCCGAATCTCATAAGCTAGACTCGACGATAGTTACTCCATGCAAAAATACCCCGAGGTGTTGTGCAAAAATGCTGTAACACGCAACCTCACGACTCGACCCGGAATCAAACCAGTACTCTCTGCTTGGATATTCCGCCGCGTATTCTTCCAATGAACGCAGACACGGACCATCCGCCATCGAGTCCTTCCTTTAGCCATGGTGCGACTCGATGAGACCTCACTGAAAAGAGGGAATTTCTCAGGGTTGAACCAGGGATGAAACTCATTGAACTTGCAAAGTAGACACTGATGAGTCCTTCCTTCTTTCAGCTACAGCACGCACAGGAATCACTACTTAGCATGTATCACCAAACCCATGCAAAAACACCGGGTGTGTGCAAAAATGCAAAGATGTATCACGTCAAGACTCGACCTGGAATCGAACCGGAAAACCTGCTTGAATCGAACTCGTAATCTAGGAGCGAAAGCAGATGCGGACCATCCGCCATCGAGTCGCTCCTCCTCAACCCTGCTCGTATCCATGAGACTCCAGGGAATTTGTCGTCAGAATTGAACCAGGAATGAATGAATCACGGCCAAGTTGGAAATCGAGTTGCAAAGCAGACGGGGGTGGCCAACCGCTGTCGAGTCCTCGCTTCCTTTAGCTCAAGCACACACAGGAATCACTACTTAGCTTGTATCACCGAACCCATGCAAAAATATCGGGTGGGTGCAAAAATGCCAAGAGACAGAAGGTCAAGACTCGACCTGGAATCGAACCGGAGGACCTGCTTTCAATTAATTCTCCGGCATCCCGCTTGTAAGTGAGGCAGGCGCGGACCATCCGCCATCGAGTCGTTTTTCAACATGGTCGAATCCTTTAGAGCCTATGCAGAAAAGAAAGACACCAAAACCGAATGCGCCCCAACCCGCCCGCAAAAAGATGACTGCAGACCCTTCAACTTGAGCGTTCAACGTTAACGCAGTTAAAAAGAATTCATTACCTATCGGACCGCTTCTTCTGGCCAGAGAATCATTTTGCCTTGCCTTCCACCCGTCTATTACTGCAACGAAGAGTCAACCAAGAGTCAACCAAAAGTCCCGCCATCGGCCGAACCGCCCGAACATAAACCCGTGCACCGCACAGCCACGCTTACCGCCTCTTCCCTTTCCCATTCCCATTCCCATTCATTCACCTCTCCAATTCAGTCCATGCAATCGACCCTCGAAGCCAGCGATCGGGTCTCCGGCGGCGAGAGCAGCAGCAGCAGCAGCAGCTCCCGCCTCCGGCGCCGCCCCGCGGTCCTCCTCCGCGGCGGCGGTGCCGGCTCCTTCGCCATCTCGTGCGGCGCCACGCCCTCCTCGCCCACAGATGCAGACGCAGAGTTAGAGTTGGAGTTGTTGGCGGCGTTGTTGGATGAGTGCGACGAGCACCGCCCCGGCGTCGTGCAGATGCTCCCCGAATACACCCCGCCCCCACCCCCGCGCGCTCGAGCCGCCGCCACAACAACTTCACTAAACGCGCGAAGGACGAACGGGTGCGGCGCGCGCGTGCACGGGGACGTGAGGTTGATGCGGCAGAGGAGTAGTAGTAGTAGTAGTGGGTGCTGGTATGGGTGGGGGGAGGGCGTGGCGGGGACGGTGGTGCCGCTCGAGACCGCGTATTTTTCGGCGGAGATGAGGAGGATGTTGGCCATGGAGATTAGGGAGGGGAGCGGGAGTGGGAGCGGGAGGGCGGCGTGTGGGTGTGAGTCGGGCGGGGTGGGGTGTGCTGTTTGGTGAGTTCCGTTTCGATTTCGTTTCTTTGCTGGGTTCGCGCCACAGCTCGTCGTCGTTTCCTTGCTTTGCGTTATTGTACTTATTGCGCCGGTTTTCTTTCTCCTGGCGCTGCAATTCCTGCATTATCCCTGCACTCTGCGGCGAGACGCGCGCGCCACATCTCGTCGTCGTTCCCTTGTCTGTGGCTCATTGTACTCGCTTGTGGGCGAGGAGCGCTTATTTCGCCGATTCTCTGTCGTGGCATCGGAGCAGCCGCACTATCTCCCTCCATCCCTCCTCTATGCTCCGCCGTTCCCACTACTGACTCTTCTCACCCATCCAGCGGAAACCCCCTGGGCGCCATCCAAACATTCTGCCCTACCCACGCGCCCCGCGGCGGCTCCAGCGTCGGGTACACATTCGCCACCTCCGCCGTCTCCGCCGACGGCAACAGCCCGAGCCCGACCCTCGCGTCCCCGCCGCCCTGGAATACGCAGATTCCGCGCAATGGGTACGCCTTTTTGGTTTCTCCTCCCTCTATTGTACAAGAAACAGCTAACCCCGCCTGCAGGGAATCATCCTTCGCGTCCACGTCCATCTGGCGCGCGCTGCCCCACCCGCCCCCGGATGCGCGCTACCCGCGCGTCTACTCCATGGGCCCGCCCCTGCTGCCGCAGGGTCTCTCCTTCCCCTCCTCCTCCTCCTCCGCTCCACCCCCGACCCACGCACCCCCAGCACAAGCACAAGCCCAAGCACAAACCCAGCCCCCGCCCCGCCCGCGCCGCCGGCGCACCCTCCGCCGCCCCGCGAGCGTGGAGCGGTATTACGATTTCGACTTTGGGAGCGCGACAGCGGCGGCGGCGGATCCGGCAACTCTCCCTTCTCTCCCTTCTACAGCTACGATCACCACGACGACCAGTGCGACGCCCACTCCCACGACGAATCCCAGCGCCAGCACGAACCCGAGCAGAACGAGCACGAGCGCGAGCACCCGCTCCCCCCTCCTCAGCTTCATCGACCGCCTCCAGGCGCTCCCGCCCCCGCCGCGCGAGGCAGGAAGCAGCAGCAGCAGCTTCCCCGCCGATTTGCGGCGCAGCTTCTACGCCAACCCCCCGCAGATGCAGATGCAGATGCAGCAGCCGTTCGTGCCTGGGACTGGGGTGGGGGGCGGGGGCGACGCGTGGCTGCGCAACGGGTGGGGCGTGCCCGGGCCCCCCAGCGCGCGCACGGCGCCGTGGGACGACGCGGTGCGGTGGGTCGCTGCGCAGGGCGAGGGCGCGTCCACTTCCTCCCCACCCAGACCCATGCCCGTGCCCAGACGCCTCGACAGACCCGGCGCATCCCCCTCGATGATCTTTGACGGCCATGATGATAGTGATGGCGATAGCGATACCGAGAACGAACGGGAGTTCGGTCTCGGTCTCGAGGCCTTCCCCGCGTTCACAAGGAGGAGTGGAGGAAGAGGAGGAAGAGGCGTGGTATTCCCCGG